CAGTAACTTTGATTAAGGCAGTAGCCGTACTATGACCTGGACGGAAACCGGATTGTAAGGAATTCAATAAATTGTGCTTATTAAGGAAAAGGGTCAGCTATATTAAGTCTAATATAAGGTCATATATATTAGTAATTGAAATAAATACCTTATCAATTTTCATATTTTTGATAGACGTCACTATTATCTATTGAAATTATTACACTTTTAAAATAAAATAACAAAAATACTAAAAAACTGAACGTTACAATTTTTTAATAATTTTAAAAATCTAATAATTTAATCATATAAATGTAAGTTATTTATATTATTTCATTTATTAGTAACTGAAGGCAAAATATACAACTTTTTCCATTTGTGATAGATGGCGCTGTTTTGAATACGAAATCGGTGTAGTTTCAAAATATTTTACCAAGATTATAACTATATTTTAAACTTTATTTACAAATATGGTAATATGGTATTTATTTGAAAAACACCCGTCATTCCGCCTATAACTAAGATACAACAGAAAATTAACATCTAAAGGAAATTAATATACTTAACCATCCTTTTTTGACGTTCCGTAATCGGATAAAAAGTAGCCTATAAGTTGCCCCGGGTTACTGACTACCTACATACAAAATTTCATGTAAATCGGTTCAGTAGTTTTTGCGTGAATCCGGAATACACAGACAGACAGACAGACAGATAGACAGACAGACAGACAAAAATTCTAAAAACCACTAATTTGGCTTCAGAACCCTTTATTTAATCCCCTGGACTTGTTTTTTCAAGAATATATTAGAATTACAGACACGACTTTTCTACAGATTTATTATATGTATAGATATATATATATATATATATATAAGATTGCAGTACCAGACGTTTCGCGCAGTCACTGCTCTAGATATTTTACGCCTGGCGTAAATAAATAGTTATACCGCCATCTATTGTTAATCATAACATCTCTCTATCAGTTACGATAATCGCCTCTTAAGACACCTACGCGACGTAATGAGTGATGGACTTACTCCGCCACCACATGTCGCTCTGCCACTTACTCCCCTTTATGAGATTAATTTAGCTCTGAATAGAAACAACTATGCACTAAAAAACATTTTTTAGTGTATAGTTTTTTTTCCTTTTTTCCTTTTGTTTTCCTTTTGTCACTACTGCGAACAAACCTGACAATCGCCACTGTAGTGTAGTGTAACTACCCCCCACGACAATATATATTAGTGTTAAGTACGCTTAATTTCTATAGAAAAGGCAACACGCCCCTTTAATTGACACCCTGCAACATTACTGCCAGGATTTGAACCTCTAATATATAAGTAATATATATTGCCGTGGGGGCCACACTACACTACATCTTCTTCCACTATTATTTATTCTGTGCTCCAGCCACCACGCGGCCGTTGACGCATAACCGCGAATGACATCATAATAAAATTACCAAGTTGAATGTTCGTCCGTTAGCACTGAACTAAGTCAATTGCATGCCTCTATGGAAGGTAATTTCATAATGCCACCAGTAATGCGATGAATTATGGCGCTAATATTAGCGGAGTCTTTACGAGTAAATCACCATGTAATAAATAAGTACTTTATAAAACCTTCCATTACTTTGTGGTAGAATTTGGATGTTCATATTTTGTTTTTATGTGTGCAGTTACCAAAATTATTTATGGGGCAATAACTACTTTATTAACAAATCAGTGAGTCGTAGTAGCCCAATGGATAAGACCTTCATTTTAGGACATACGAGTAAGATTGTCCCCGACAACACTATACAGAGCAATGGCAGACTTTCATACATAAAATTAGTTGAGAAGAAATGGTAGCGTCTATATATCAAAAATATCTTAAAATGTTAAGCGTCAGTCCCTTAATAACTCTGTCAAAGCATTTTGTCCTGAGAAGGCGTCAAAAAAAATATATTTACATTTGAACCTTTTTAGGTTATGTCCTTGGAAAAAGTCATACTTCCAGTGATTGTTTGATGTTAGCTTAATACATAATTGAGAGTTTTTAGATTATTGTATCTCTATTATATATTTGCATACTATAAACGTATATTTCTGGCATGGCTCCAGGGCCTTTGTATCATAGTGACATTCTCAGAAGGGCTAGAACCCAGAGCCGTAAAGCCAGTAAAAAAAACAGTGACATTTTGTTTTAGCTAGTGTTGGCATAACATTAAATGGAATTGTTACATAGTACTATGATTGAAATAATGTATTATTGTAGGAAATTCTTTGTAAGAGACTTATTCTCAGCCATATCTCTTTTATTTTTATTATTACTGATAGTACAGTTATTACTAATAATAACTTAATATAAAAATATTTTGTGTGTTGTGTTGGTAGTCTTACAAAGTATATACGAAAATAGTATGAATATACTAAATGGCAACACTTGAACTGAGTAAAATGATTTAAGTCATTTGATATTCCCAAAAATGTTTTTTTTTCTGTGGCTTTAATTAAAATACATTTTTATTTGAAAAATCATAGAAAAATAATAAAACTCATTTCATATATAACTTATTTCTAGACGCGATAATTTTTGTCAACTATTTTTCTGCCATTGCTCTTTGTTAATTGAATTTTGAGTGTTGATTTGTGAAAAAAAAACTTGTTTTAATAATACATCGATATTTATCATGCGATATATATCGATACTGTTTAAAAATATCGATACGGTATATATCGATATATTTTTTCCCTTGCCCATCCCTACCTTTAACTCTTCCATACACTATGTACGTATGCACCGACTTCTTCCTATTAGCTTTTTGAAGTCGACTTTTACTTTGTATTAAAAGTTAATTTATAAAAACTAGTACCTTTACCTGATTTTCTACAGCTATGCAGACTGTTTTAATAGGGTTTTAACTTTTAAGGTAAGTGACCGTCGTAATTACAAGCATATTTTTAGGTGAAACTTCATTATCGACGTGGTGGAGAAATTTTGTACGGTATTGAAAAACAAAAACGTCATGTTTCCTTCTAACGTTTCACCGGCGTCTTCATTAGCCGTTTCAATGGCCGGGGCTGAATAAATATACTATTATTTAACTTACTTATGTAAAATATAAAGTAAAATAAGAATGATGTGTCGTAAAGAAGTTTCACTTCGTATGTACAATTACACGTACAATTTTTATAATAAATGTACATGCAACGGCGGATCCAAGGGGGGGGGTCATGGGGGTCATGACCCCCCCCTGAGCTGGTTCCAGGACTTAGGTGGACCACTAATTGAACATAATGATTTTATTTATATATTTTGTCACCATACAGATTTTATGTAACTGCATACCTTCAATATTTAATTAATTTAATATAATATACTTAATAACTTTGTATGATTGCAAACGTTTGGGAACGAACGCATCGAAAATTTGAATTTTACGGCGCCACACTTGCGCGCGCTTTTCGACTACGTAACATCTAGCTAGACCTAACCTCAATCGGAATTGAAACAACTAAACTTCAACATATCATAACATAGTTCTAAGTTAAAAAACTAAAATTTCTTTCTACTTGTAATGTGTTTGTAAGTGTACCTTTATAAGTATTCTTAAAAATTGTTGCTGCAAATTCATTAATTACAAGAAATGGTAAGTAATCAGTTTCTCATTATTCCAGTGCGTGTGTTTTAACTTAAATGTTATTGTTGTTAATGTTCATAAAGTACCTCATAGGTAGATATGTAGGTACCTACTTAATGAAAGAGTGCTGCGTGACTTATGTACCTACCTGTAGGCATTGAGTTATATGTATTACGTACTAGAGAAGCCATTCCAAACAAAAATTGTGTCCTACTCTAGTCTCTATGTCTTCGCGCATGCGCGGGAGTAGTAGTCGCGTATGCGCGAATACTTTAATTTGATATAAAATAAGATATTAATATAAAATAAATATAAGAATTTAATATAAAATATCTTAATTTAATCTAAACATATTTCTAAATAAAATGTAAAAATAATTATTTTATGGAATTCACAAATCTTCAATTTACGCAATATTTAGTTTGTATGGATTGCTACAGTTCAGTTGTACATAGTCAATGTTCGGAATGGCTTCTCTAGTACGTAGTACATATAACTCAATGCCTATAGGTATATATTTTTTGGACGATGGAGATTGAAGAGCATCAAACTTACTGACCTAACCTAAAATCTTGTATCTCTTGTATCGTCGTGACCACACTGATTTTAATGCTCTTTAAAAATAAAATAAGAGAGCAACCAACAGAATGAATATAGCATGTATAAACTTATAATCTTGCTTAAAAGTTTTAAAAGCACCTAGCGAAAACTTTGATGTAAAGTATTGCGTTATATATATATATATATATATATATATATATATATATATATATATATATACATATACATATATATATATTAAGTTATAAATTCTTAGTTTATGTACTACAGTCACAGTCACTTACTTTTTATTTTTCATGTATCTTTAAGCAGAATACTGCAATCGAACTCAATTGATTTAAAAAAAGCTACGGACGCTATTAATGATACTTTAAGTGTTTTACAAAATAAAAGAGAAAATGTGGACGTAATCTACCGACAGCTTTTTGAAGAGGCTAAAGAAGTAGCTGAGCAGCTAGATGTAGAAATTAAATGCCCCAGAATAGTATCAAAACAAATACATAGGGCCAATAACCAACCTGCTCAATCTGCTGAAGAGTATTTCCGCAGAGCTAAATACATCCCTCTTCTAGATTCAATAATAAGTGATCTCCAGGACCGCCTGTCTCCTGATGTAGTTAATTTGTTTCAGCTAAACGTTTTCATACCAAAAAGCGAATATAGTAATGAAGACATTGAAACTGTGAAACAACTAGCTACCGACTATACATTATTACTAGATAACACTTCAGTTTCTGTCATTGTAAATGCGGAGCCAGGACATACCGCAGTCGATTTCTGATCTTATTTTAAATTGATACATCGATATGTATCTTAATATAAAAAAAAAATATGAATTATGGCTACACTACCTGTCAGTGTAGCGGCAGCAGAAAGGCCTTTCTCTACGTTGCGCAGAGTTAAATCGTGGCTAAGATCTTCAATGGTTGTAGATCTCCTAAACGGACTGGCACTTCTCCACGTTCATAAAAACGTACCCATTGACGTAAATGAGGAAATGACGCATTTCGGGAGAAGACGTAAAAGAAAAATTGATTTTGTTATTTAAATATATGTATTTTGTCTGTTTCTATTTTGGTTGTTGGAAACCCTTGTCGTACCACCTCTTCACTTTTGCGGAGTTTTGCGTCATACCCCTCGACATACCTCTATCTGTTATGACAAATCATTCACCACGGTTATGGAATATAAATAGGCTGCCTCATTCCGTGCGTGATAGTGCTTGTCTGGATGTCTTCAAGAGAAGATGGCAATATGTACGTGTATATGTACAAGTTATTATGTGTTAAGTGTTTCAAGTGTACAATAAAGAATAAATATTTTTAAGTACAGTGCTTACGTACATTAATAAAATACCTTCTTTTTACTTGTATCTATTGTTATCAAAATTAAATTATAAGTTCTTGACTTGACCACGACTATGTGACCCCCTCCTGGCGCCAAAGCTGGATCCGCCCTTGTGTACATGTAACAACAAGCTCGACAGTGAAGGACCACGCTCTCACAAAATAGCGTGGTAGAGCCATGCTGCAGCTACATTAGTATTTTTTTTATAGGATAAGGGTGACAAACGAGCACACAGTCCACCGGATGGTAAGTGGTTGCTGCGGCCCATAGACATCTACATCTATCCTCGTTTGCGAATCAAAATGCAGATGCGTTGCCACCCGTGAGGACTAAGATGGAATGCCTCATTTCCAGTAAAAAGGGCCTCCGGCCACCTGCACTCACCAAGCGAAACGCAGAGGTAAACCTCTACTTCACGCTGGTATTCTGTGAGGTCGTGGTACCACCCCGGTTCGAGCCGGCCCATCCGTGCGACAGCAAAAGCTGCCGCGTGGCTCTACCACTGTGGAAAAGTACAGTTGTAGCACGTAGCAGTAGTAGTACAGTTGTAGCACGAATGGGTCGGCTCTACCGGGGAAGGACCACGCTCTCACAGAATACCAGCGTAAAATAGCAGCTTAACACTGCTGTGTTTCGTATGGTGAGTGTAGAGAACCGGAGACCCTTTTTACTGGAAACGAGGTATTCCATCTTAGTCCTCACGGGTGAGAACGCATCTGCATTTTGATTCTTTATTGAGGATAGATGTAGATGTCTATGGGCCACAGCAACCACTTACCATCAGATGGACTGTGTGCTCGTTTGTCACCCTATCCCATAAAAAAAGCAGCTTAGTGCTGCTGAAACGAGGCAATCCATTTTAGTCCTCAGGGATGACATCGAATCTGCATTTTTATTCTTAATCAATGATAGATATTGATAGATGTCTATGGGCCATAGCATCCACTTACCATCAGATGGGTTTTGCTCGCTTGTCACCCCTATACAATAAAAAAAAATGATTGGTAATATTGGAAAGTGTAATCTATATATATATATATATATATATATATATATATATATATATATATATATATATATATATATATATATATATATATATATATATAATTAAAATTAAAGTGTCTGTCTGTAATACTTTTTATTGGGCTGAGGGGGTTAAAGTTTTTGTCTATCTGTCTGCCAGGGATAATATTCGGAATGGCTGAACGGATTGTAATCAAACTAGACAAAGACTAGAGTTAAAAAATAAAGACTATATTTTATCCATAAAAACTTGAAGAATATTTCTGAGACTTCAAAAAAAATATTAGTCTTGGATTATTATCTTAAATCTAAATAACGCCACATTAATAGATTCTACCCACGCAAAGACGGGGCGGGTCGCTAGTCTACACATATAATTAAAACTGGAGTGTCTGTCTATAATATCGAAATAATTGGCCATTTATTAAGCTTAGGGAGTAATTTGAATGCTATTAAAACATGAATGTTTTAAAAAAATTGTCTTGTCCGGGCTAATTTTTGGAACAGCTGGACCGATTGTTATGACGACTTCACGAACATAATATAGAGAGCTATATAGGTATCTATAAAGTTTTCTCATCTGGTTGGGCTGTATGAATATACAATTGTAAATGAAAATGATAAACATACATAAATATCAATAAAATAAAATAAATACATCAAAATATAAATAAATACAAACCCAACCAGATGGAAACCCTCGGCAGGGGAGACCAAACGGCCGAGGGTTAGGGGGAAAGGGAAAGAAACCGGCGGACGATGCAGTGGTATCGAGGAGCACCGCCTTCTGCATTTGAGCTTGGAGCGGTCCGTCACGGAGTCCCAGTCGCCTCAGATGACCCGAGAGGCTGACTGGGATTACCCCGTTCGCAGAAAGGACTACAGATATAATTTCGGTCGGTTGTCTACCCCACATGTAGGTCACCTCGTGAGCCAGGTCCAGATATTTTGTCAGCCTATCTTATTATTATTATTATTAATCCGAAAAATTTATAAGTGTTATTGTGAAATCGGAAATCTGATAAATAGTTTTTGATTTAAAAAAAAACATCGAAATTTGTTGTTTCACAATTTTCCACAAAAAAGGTCCTTACACTTTATCTTTTATTTCTTAAATTTTTGATCCAAAATCGATATTTTACATGTTTTAACTTCAACATTATTTTACAAGAGAAAGTTTGAATTGATAAGACCTTATCAGGTAAAATTAATGGACTTTTAATTTAAACATTTTCTCACATCGCACATAGTTTTCGAGATAATAGCAAAAAAACTGAGTTTAAAGTTGCCCAAAGACCACTATTATGGATGCCGTACACGATCCAGTTTACCGTCAAGTTTGCAGCGCGTTTGCAACGCCGTCCGGTAAACTTGACGGTGTATGGCTAGCAGTGTGCATGACAAGTATATGTACTTGAAGCAAAAATTGAATTTCGATTCTGCCGACTTGATCAAGCTTGCAGCGTCATGCAAACTTGTGTATGAGCGGTCAAATAGTTCATTTCATCTAGTCCAGTTCAATCCCCAGAAGACACAAGTTTGCGCGTTTACCGCTAAAAAGAACCCCTTTGTCGTATCTCCTCAGTTTCAAGGCACTCCCCTTGCTGCCTCAGCCAGTATCGGAATCCTTGGCGTCGACATATCGAATAGCGTGCAGTTTCGTGGTCACTTGGAAGGGAAGGCCAAATTGGCCTCTAAAAAGCTTGGCGTGCTCAGCAGAGCGAGACAGTATTTCATGCCGGCACATCGCTTGCAACTTTACAAAGCGCAAGTTCGGCCCCACATGGAATACTGTTCTCATCTCTGGGCCGGGGCACCCCAGTGCCAGCTCCTTCCACTTGACCGCATCCAGCGCAGAGCGATTCGAATCGTCGACGACCGAGTTCTTTCCGATCAGCTCGATACACTGGCACTGCGTAGAGATGTTGCATCTCTTTGCGTATTTTATCGCATCTATCACGGGGAGTGCTCTGAGGAATTGTTCGGACTAATTCCAGCCGCTCAATTTCACCATCGCACGTCGCGACAAAACTCGCGTTACCATCCGTACCATCTGGATGATTGGCGGTCCACCACTGTGCGATTTAGAAGAAGTTTTCTCCCTCGCACAACTTCTTTGTGGAATCAATTACCACCAGCGAATTTTCCGAACCGATACGACTTAGGAACTTTCAAGAAAAGAGCTTACACCTTTCTAAAAGGCCGGCAACGCATCTGCAATTCCCCTGGTGTTGCGGTTGTTCATGGGCGGCGGTAGTCACTTACCATCAGGTGAGCCGCAAGCTCGTTTGCCCCCTATTCTATAAAAAAAAAAATATGCATGACGGTAGTCGGAACAAATAAGCGAGAGATGCCATGGTTTCAACTGATGCGGCATCATGCAAACTTGACGCCGAACTTGAACGTGAGTGGTCTATATGGATGCACTGCAAACTAGACGCCGCTTCAAGCGCGCTGCAAACTTGACGGTAAACTGGATCTTGTATGGCATGAATTATAGACCTGCAGTTTATTTTTTGTTAAAAGTTCGGAAAGCGGACGATCTCGCAGATGAAGACTTGTTACTTACAAAATATGAAAACACTATCATTACAGTAAGTACAAAAATGTTACAAGTAAGAAATACCCGAAACTCAAAACATTTCGTTGCTTAGTTATTTCCAGCATCCCAGTTCAATAACTCTAAGTAACTATTAGCTTTACATTACCGTGTAATAGCGGTGTAAGAATATCCACTACTCTATATCGCCCCGTGGTTGCTGAATGAGACCACAAAGGGAAACAAACGAGGAGATGGGCAGCAGCGTTTTTCTAATAACAATTAAAAATTAAAAACTGCTGTTGACAAGCTGCTTTAAAAAATCCCAGTAGAGTGCAGTGCACTTTTGTTAAACCTGCCGCTACAGGTAACAGTAACCATTAGCAAGAAGTAGCAATCATAAAATAAACGTATTATACCTCTTCCTCACAATATACCCGCAGTAATCCGGTAACGCGTAACGCTTTTTGCGTAGAAAACCACCATCAACTGTATACGCTCGAGGCCTCCGTTACGTACAGCCGTCATTCTCCTGTCACGGCTGCCTGCATAAATGTCTCATGAAATTGAGCATAACTAGTCAATGACTTACGGCGAACCCGGCGAACATATTTCTTCATACAGTTGGTAAGTAGTCAGGTGGGTAGTGCAATTATAATTTATCGTTCATCTTCCATTAGAAGCATGGCTATATGCCGTGGAACGCAGCAGAGCGCAATGTCTTGCTCTCTTGCTTTTACTATAGTATAAAGACTTAAAGATAATAAATGAGACTCCGTTATCCATGTTTTATATTTTTGTTTTCATTAGGCGGTATAACTCACTACTGGTTATGGAACTCTCCCGTCACGGTTGGCTGCCAGATTGACGATAGCAAAAGACATCTCGCGCCTTTGGAACTGCTGCCGTTTGTAACCGAAGCGTCGCCGGGCCAAGTAAATTACGTCTGGAGTAAACAAAATGGTTGCACTAGATGGTAGGACTCTTTTTTTTGCGTAGGAGTCCTATTAGCTATTTCTACCAAATAGCAGTGCTTATATTGCTGTGTTGCCAGTACAGTTACAGGTTGTGAGGCATTCTATATTCCGACCGCAGGGGTGATAACGCATCTGTAGCGTTCTTTGTTTAAAGTTAAC